TTGAAATAAAAGCATACCTATGTTTTGAAAAACGTACCATGGTGGTATGAACAAACCAATACTGTAGGATGGTTGAATAAATGATGGTAGAAGTATATTAATTGTAATTTACGACTTTTAACATTGTATACCACACAATACCACCCCGTACCAAGGTGGTATTGTATGGTATTGTGTGGTATTTTTTGGTCCTGTATTTGTTCACCCAGAAATTTGTAGATCCAATAGATCATGATGAACTCGTCCCTTCTGTGCAAACGTTTTCAAAAATGAATTAAAACGAAGAAGATACCATACAATACCACCCCGTACCAGGGTGGTATTGTATGATATTGTATGGTATTTTTTTGTCCTGTAATTTGTTCACCCAGAAATTTGTAGATCCAGTAGATCATGATGAACTCATCCCTGCTGTGCAAACGTTTTCAAAAATGAATTAAAAACGAAGAAGATACTATATGGTATGCAGTTGGTACCGAGATGCCAGAATTTTTTTTCCCTAAAAAAATATTGAAAATTGATCTCATTTTGTAGAGCACGGTGAACTCGTTCCATCTGTGCAAAAAAAATTAAAATCCAAGTTAAAACAAAAAAGATATGAGTCAATTAAAAAAGCTAGTGAAAATAAAAATAGTCTTTAATTCTCCATCCTTAGATCTGGATTTTCTAAATGAAGGGTCCAGATTTGGTTATTGATGGGTGCATAACCATGAGTTATGCACCATATCTTGAGCCTGTCTAGCCCACAGTACCACACGGCTAATCTCCTTCTCTCATGCGTATCAATTTTGTGGCCTGGATCTGTCCAGCCTGGAAAGTCGAGAGAACCCAAATATTGAATGCCAGAGGTGTGTGGTCTACACACCACACAATTTTTTTTTTAATATTTAATATATATAAACAACCAGTCCACCACACGTTTTCTGCCCTTCTGCCTTATTTTCTTTTTCTTCTCCAACAATGAAAGTCATTGTTCACTCAGATTGTTTGCAAGATATTTTCTTTTGACAAGGCTTGTCGAGATATTTTAGTGCATTATGATTCATGATGTTCCCTCCCCTGGAAGGAAATGGATAAGAGCTTATTGGCCCATTTACGGAATTCTCTTTTGCTTTCCCAATTTTTCCCTCTGTTGGTCATTGGCCAACATTTGTTTAATCATCACAAAAAAATGGATATATATGCCTGAGTTGAAAGATTTAGAATTTACTAAAATAGGAATTCCAATTTATTCAAATGAATTTTATCATGAAAATCTTCTCATGCCATCAATTATATGGATACTTAATATTTAGATTTAGGGTATTGCCTATAATGACTTGTAAGTCATTTTGACTTGTAGCAAACAGTCTATCTATTCCTATAAGCAGCCTATCACTTTTCAAGAAAATGGTCTATCGCTTCCACCAAGTGTTCTACCGATTTTAGCAAGTGGTCGACCTGATTACACTTGCTTTCAACTAAAACCCGCTGGTCGGAAGTGGTAGATCGCTTCGGTCAAACGGTCTACCGATTCCTGCAAACGATCTACCACTTTCGGCGAACGGTCGAGCATATTATACATTTACCTTTTACTTAAATTAGAAAATTAATGGAGAAAAGGAGGCATACAATACGAAATTGTTTTGTAGTAACTGAATATCCTCTCACTCGTAAACACACAAATCTTAATCCAAGTTATAGGCCTAGACAAAAAGGAATAACATAATCTTTTAACACTTTTGGTATAAAAATATCATAAAAACAAGATGATATGAAATTTATGGACGTTGTAGATGACACTATTGTTCAACAACTATGCTTTACTGTTTAAGTATCTTTATAACAACAATAACAACAAAGTTGATAAATTACAAGACAACTATATAATAAAAACAAGCAAACTTCGAATTTGAAGGAAAGATGAAAATCTTTATAGAGTAAGTCAAATATAAGAAACAAATATGCATAATATTTTCCAAATATACAGGAGAACAATCACCTGATAAACTTATCTTCTATACTCTAGATTTTGTACTAATTTTAACTCTCTTACTGATAAACATATATATTAATAATTGACTCATCTTATTATATATGATGATGTCATTAACAATAGTTCATAAGGTTAACCGATTGTTTGAAGCGGTAGAGGTTTTTTTTAAAAAAAAAAAAGTGGCCGACCACTTAGTGGAAGAGGTATATCGTTTTCTTAGAAGTAATCGACCATTTAATGAAAGAGGTAGACCATTTTTCTTCAAATCGTAGTGATTTGTAAGTTATCATAGCAAAGTCCTTAGTTAAAATATCAATGTTCTACTAGTATGACAAATTTTGGCCCATAAATAAAAATAATTTAATTTTGGTGAATCTAGTTTTTTTTTTTTTTGTAAATATGAAAAATTATCATTTTGTTTGTAATGTTTATTAGATTTAAATATGAATTGAGCTTGTAGAAAGATAGTATTGAAATAGATTATACAAGCACAATTCATTTCGTGTTACTATTTTCTCACTTTTTTATATATTTTACTAAAACCGAGATCAAAACGATTGTATCACAATCAGACTATACTACGTGCTAAACTGACACAACAATATAAAACCCATTTGATAATCACGTTAAATATAGTAGTGTTACAGAGAAAGAAGAAGAAAAAAAAAAGAGTTGAGGGCTTGAGGCAAATTAGATTTTTTATTTTCACGAAAAAGCTATTTACTGGTAAAAAATCCATATATTATTATTATTCCTAATATACCCACCGTCATAACTAATATCTGTACAGGAAAAATAAAATATCTAACTCACCTCTCCCCAAAGACTTTCCTCCCAAAATTTCCCCATCAAGATAGAAATGGACTTTGGCGATCGATCCGAGTGCCGTTCCGCCTGGGAAAGCTTCCGCCGGCCGTCGATGCCGATGGATCACCCCGCCGCCGTCGCCTTCGCAGTCTTCTTCTCCGGCGGCACCGGTATGCTGCATTCGAGATCTCCGGCGGTGAAAGGTACGCCACGCCTCCGTTTCTCTCTCTCTCTCTCTCTCTCTTTAATTCTCGCTTTTCTGGTTATCATTCCCAGGCTCCCGACCGATTCCTGAACTGTTTGAATCGGCGATTCTGCCGCTGGTAGTTTTCAATTCCCCGCGATCGTCATTTTCGTCGAAGAAGCTGTTTTCTTCTTTCCTTTTCGCCTGCATTTTCGCCTTTGCTCACTGTTTGCTTTATGTGCGAACTGCAATACTTTTGCTAACTGCTTATTGCTGTGTGGGAGAAGGATTAGACCTTAAAAAGTTTTTTTTTTTTTGGGATAGAAACCATAGAAATGTATGAACATCTGGGATCCATTTATAGTCCAAAATTGGAAATAATTGAAAATTATTTAGACCTGACTGAATTGCAATATTCGGTTCGTAGGAGAGGTCGAACCAGTCCATATGGGTTTGTGCCTTTCTTCTAACCCGCGAGCGGTTACGGGTTTAATTTAGTCCACATGAAATCTTAGTTGAAACCGAGTCAATATTTGAATCTTTTGTTTTCCCTCTGACTCTTGGGCCTTTATTAGGAGTATTGGGCCAATCACCCGAGGCCCATAACAAAGTTACCAGAACAGTCCTACTCCATGTAGCCATCGAGCCCATGCCGGCAGCAAACTTTCTAGTCCACTAGTCGTCACTCGTCAATATTATTTTGCGTCGTGTTCTAAAAAATTGCTATCGCCAAAACTTGGCGGCGACCGTCATGATCGGAGTCGCCACCGAGTCACCTAGTGGAGTGGAACACTCCGGGCCCAGAAAAAAGGAAGAAAAAGCTCAAATAACGAAAACCACCCAATTATATGCGCCAACTTTTTTTTTATATGAAGATTATATGCGCCAACTTTGCTAGTAGCACTTCCTTATTTTTTTTTTCTAGCTGCACTATGCACCACATATTTTATGCTCGCTCTAGAACATGTTTAAGTGTTAGGTTCCGTTGTATATGCACCTGAACTTTTCTTTTCCAGCTTTTTGTGTGTTCACCATTCTTCATCCATTGCCCCCCTTTAACAAGAAAATTGGAATTCTTTTGGATAGTATACTGCAAGTTCGCTATGGGGAAAAAGAAGTTAGATGTCTTAATTCACTACGTAGAATGCGATTTTAGCGTTCCATGTATAATTTCTGTTTTATATCAACAACGTTCTCATATCTATTATTTTCTTGATCTTTTAAATTATTTTACGATTCGAAATTTATGGTCAAACAATTATCTAGAAAGAAATTTAGTATGAGAAAACTCTAGAAAGTATTGATTCACTGGTCTAAAAGGCTTATCATTTATGGTCATTCAAGCATACTAACAACCAACAATATATAGTGTAAGAAAAACATACCAAGTATGTGGAGGTAGCTCGTAAACTCGCCTTATAATCATCATTTTAAATATGCGATATGGGTGAAGAATGTATCAATCATAACTTTTGATATTATGGATAAGAAATCATGTGAAATTGCGCAAAAAATCATTCAAAGTTTATTTTGATTTTAAGGATTTAGGGTTTAGGATTAGAGTTCAAAGGTTTGGAATTTAGGGTTATGATTCAAAATTTAGAGCCTACGATAATGCATGAATTAGTTGTCATCTTATGTTACATAATCATTTTAGACTAATGATTCCAATGAAAATGCAAAATTCACTATTTTAATACTAGTTTTAGAGTTGATTGCCTAATATGCACTCATTTTCGTGACGGAATCATACATATTTTCCTTGAAAGATCATGTAGTTATATAGTCATGGTATTTTCCATTCCTTATATATACACCGTCTCCTCAAGACTTGAATTTTGGAGCTTAAGCTACCTGACCTAGGTCACCACAGTACTGACTGACTCACTACTTGCTTCGACGACTGCTTGCAGCACCGCCGCTTGGTACACCGCGAGATCCCGCCAGTTGGCCATTCCCTCGCTCCGGCTCAATCCTAGAAACCAAGGAAGCTTCCAAAACCCGCACCTCTTCTCCGTCGCTCGGCCGCCTTCAATGGGGAGAGGGAAGGTGGAGATGCGCCACATCGAGGACAAGATCACCCGTCAAGTGACATTCTCGAAGCGGAAGGGCGGCCTGCTCAAGAAAGCTCGGGAGCTCTCGGTGCTGTGCGACGTCGAGGTCGCTCTTATCGTCTTCTCCGCGGGCGGCAAGCTCTTCGAATTCTCCGGCGGTGAAAGGTGCGTCCACCCTCTCCTCTTTTTTCAATTCCTTGCTTCGCTATTCACTTCGATTCTCGTTTCGCTGCTTTTGAATTCGTTACTACTGCCTCTCTCCATGATCTCTTGGCGGTGGGAAACCCTACACATTAGATTAGGTTTAGAGCGAGCGAGCGAAGGAATATACTCGATCCTTGGCTAGATGTAGTGAAGTAGTACTTTGGAAGCAAGGTTTGTGAAACCATACCGCGGAGACGGTATTGGAAAAATTAGCGGTAGAGTATTTTATGGTGAAATCGTAGTTCAATATAGTTCAATCGTTAATACCGGTAAATAGTGCATATCGGGTTAGCCTCCGATATTGGTGTTTTTTGCGGTTGAACAATTGGTACTATACGGTTTCACAAACCATGGAAGAGGTTGGTGATCTTCCATGAATTACTACTGATTGCTTTCAGTATCGGAGACTGAATCTTATGCCATGAGATATTGGTGCAAGTTTTATCAGCTCGTGACCTAGGGATTAGGGGTAATTGATTAATTTCTAGATGGATTTCATCGTAATCAAACATCAGGGTTTGTTTACTTTCAATTCTATTGATTACCGTGCAGAATCTTACTCTTAAAAACAAATAAATAATGAAGGACCATACTGTGGTTGAGACATTAATGACAATTACAAAGTCAGATAGTAATCATGTCAAATAGTTAAACACACTGGAAATAAAAACTAATTTCCAGTCCACATCTATACTCATACCAATCACATGTTTTAACAACCTTGGCTAGCATGTTTGTGACAAAGAAAGAAGCCACCTTAATAAAAAGGACAAGCTTATGAGTATAGTAATCATGTCAAATAGTTAAACACACTGGAAATAAAAACTAATTTCCAGTCCACATGTTTTACTCATACCAATCACATGTTTTAACAACCTTGGCTAGCATGTTTGTGACAAAGAAAGAAGCCACCTTAATAAAAAGGACAAGCTTATAAAGAAAAACACAATATCACAATGAGGTTTTCTTGTTGTCAAACTAACTTAACTAGTCTTTTGATCCCCTACAATAACATTGGTTTATCGCTAGATACATACGATCTCATGATCACTTGAATAGAATTGTCCAACATGACGAAAACATACCACACAATAACATTTACCATCACTAGACATGATTTCGTGATCGCTTGATTCGGATAACATGTTGGTATCAAGCAAACATGTTTAAAAGATACCTAGCCATTTTCATAACATGAGACTCTTGAGGCCTTAGCTAGTTTTGGGTCTTTCTGATCGATTGATAAACTCTTATCCTATGTACAACAATTATGATATTCTTACAAACCATAACAATTCAACAAAAACAACCAATCCCCTTTTTGCTTGTGGCGAACCGCCAAAACGGAGATTTGAGCTTTCCGGTGTCATATTTCATGGCGGGGGGAAAACGACTTGCCAAAGAGAAGGAAAGGTTTGGGGGTGTAAGCTTACGTAGTGGGAGGACGAATTCAATGACGTGTCACGTGTCTGCATATATTTTATGCGGGACTTAAACACGTGGCTCCAATAGCCTTATACGAATACTGGGAAATCTATTGTCTTACGTGGCAGTGTAGTTTGCTCGATCCCTTTTGGGCGTGGGGCACTCCCTGTTTAATCTGAGGATGCCGACATTCCCACTGGGAAAGGCTTCCAGGCTTTTGCTGACTAGATTACTCCACGTAAGCACCTTGCTTAGAGTTGCTATATGATTTGCTATGCAAGGCAATGCTTGATTTTTGGATTGGTGATCCCATTTCGCTATCCTTGGTGATGCTTATAGAACTTGACGAGAAGGTTTGGAGGTAGAGCCCTCCTATTATATGCTTTAAACCATCAATGCTTTGAGGTACAAATTAAACTTGTTCAATCACCTTAAAAGCACAAGGTCAATTTGTACCATAAGAAAATTCGTACTTATTATGGTACAGGTTCAGTTTGTACCTACACAAAAATACATATTCAGTTTGTATCATAAAAAAATTTATACATAAAAGTTATAGGTACAAACTGAATTTGTATATTAGCGTTATAAACATAAATCCGGTTTCTACCATAAAAACAAAAATTCTAAAACACCATTGCTTTAAAACATTTTAAAATTCCTCTAGGAAGTAATGATTATTTATGATTCATCTTCATGGGGATTATCATTCTTCTATCGGGTTTACTTTTTTTCTTTTTGATTATGTTAGATCCTGGTAGCAAAGAACGAAAATTAAGCCTATTTATCGCAAGTTAGGAAGAAAAATGGGATATGCATAGGGAGGTGATAAGGCTAACATGTTTGGACTCGAAAGCAAGAAGAAAGCAAATGGGGTTAAAGCCACTTCGTCGAGTTTTGAGCTCACTTTTTTTAATTGATAGTGCCAAATTTCATTAACTAAAGCGAACCCGATACAAATCAGAGAAGAAGCACAAAAGAGGGTAGAAAGTGGCGTTACATTATTCGCCAGTAGTAAAGGAAAGCAACCCTAGATACTTGGATTGAGCTCTCATTCTTGAAGTTAATTTGGAATTGGATTTTAAATTTGTTCTCTTAAGTGAAGGCCTTGTATTGGGTTCATATTATTTCGACTTTGAAATCGCTCACTTCAACCGTAATTCACTTTAGAATATATGTATTTATTACAATATATCATGTTCAATGACAAATAATACATGAATTGCTTTTTTTTATGAGATAGATTCAATCATTTATATTGAATGATTGATTGTACAATCTTATTTTTAGGTTAGATTGTTGAGATTGTTTCCTTTTTTTATGAATGGATTGTGTATTATATCATGGAAAAAAACACAGCAAACACTAGCAATAAAACTCTGCTAGGTAAATGTTTACAAATATACTGCTACCTACCAACTTTTACGGGAAAGACCATACGTATGTGTGAAAGAAAACAAAACCAACCGATACTAGAAGAGCAGTTTCAGCAATCAGCATCCCCAGCTTTCAGCTGGATTTCATCTTCGATCTGTTTCAATAGCACAGAAACTGCCATTTCCTTCCCTTAAAACTTTCTTCTATCCCTTAAAAAAAAAAAAAAAAACTTTCTCCTACAACTTTCCCTGGCCCAACAAATCTCAGTATCCCAGCTGCCCCGGGGATCCTGTTTGTAAATTTCTTAAATAGACGTGAAAACAAACCCCTATAGTAATTACAAGAAGCATATAGATGAGATTTAGGGGTCATTTGGAGAATATGAGTTTAAATTTATAGATTGTAAACAATTTAAAGATTCTAACTCTTCGGATTGTTGAAAATAGATTTTAAAATGTATATTGTTTGATAACTGTGATTGTAAACATTCAATGAAAATTAAATTTTGATTTTATATTAAATAACATGTTTATCCTTAATAAAAATTAGAGTGGTTTGAGAAATATTAAAAAGTTTGTTGATAAATAAATTTAATATGATAAATAAATAAAAGAAATAGAAAAAGTAGGAGAAAAAAATCTCACGAATCAAGATATAGAATCTCTCTAATTATGAGAGATTTGATATCCGTAGATTTTAGTGATTTGAAATATCTAAAACTAAAATCCACAATACAAAAAGCAACAAAAAATATAACTTTCTACAAAATATACGGATTCAATGAATCCACACACTAAATCCCGTTCTCCAAACGACCCCTTAGTCTCCACAGCTTCTGCACAAAAAGCAGACTCCACAGAATTTGAAGAGTTCCAGGACTCTATTTTATCTTCACTTAACACATGATTACTCATAACGATCCATGCAAGAAACTAATTCCTAGGGATACCAGGAGACTTCCACACACTGTACTCCAATCAGCAAGAGGATTCTTTGGCCTTAATTCTGTCCAACTCTCCTAAGTAAGAAGACTAGCATAGGAATAGAGTTCCACTTAAGGGAACTGACAATACCACAAACAAAAGAGCTTACCCTTTACCTAAGCTTTAGAAGTTTTTGCCAAATCCAAGAGCCCGTTTTCCCTTCATGCTCCCAGAAGCCCTTCCCCTTCTATCTATACTCAAAGATGCATGCCACCCAGAGAGATCCTTGATCAAGAAGAATATATCAAATGTGCTTCACAGAATAAGCAAGATTCTAGGGTATGTGTCCTTCAAATCTAGATTCCCTTCAACTTTGGTAAAAGTTAAAAACTGCCATGCTATAGTTGCTTTCTTACTCAACCCTTAACAAACTCCAAAGGAAAGTTACCACATAGGGTCTCAATTTCCTCAATCACTTTTTTTAAGGTAGAATGATCATTGTCATCCAAAACTGAGTCAAACTATAAAGAACAAAGAGAATAAGCTCCCATAGACTTGCATAACTTAGCACTTAGGCTTTCCATCCTTGTATCCTAGCCGCAGTTTCTCATCAATGGTCTATAAGCATTGATTGTTAACTTATGAACAATCAGAGGCACCCCCAAATACCTGATTGGAAGCTTACCCTACTTATACCCTGTTCTGGCAGCCAAATCCTTGTGTCACTCGATAGGAAAGCCTCCACAGAAAATTTCACACTTGGATGGATTAGAAGCCAGACCAGATAGGACCCTAAACCTATCAAGCACCCTTTGCACACACTGGACCCTATAATTTGAACCAGTGTTCAAGAAGACACGATTAATCTCTCGCCTAGGCGCGATTAATAGCTGGGCAGGAGGAAATCGTCCAGTCTAGCCCTGGGCGATTGATCTAGGCACCTAGGCACTCGGAGGCGTGTTTTCACCCTGGTGGGCGACGCCCAGAACAACTAATAAAGGGGAAAGTGTATCATTTTTGTGAAAATCCCAAACCCTATTCTATTTCCCATTTCCATTCGACCAACCGCTCCCTCTCATCGACCAACAGTGAGATCTCTCCTCATGGTTAGCGACTTAGGATGTTTGGGATTGTGGAAAAGGGTTGTATGTGTATATGAATGGATGAATAATGATATGGGGACTTGGGTTTTTGTAGAATATGGCTTATCTAACATATTTTTTTTCAACGTTTAATCTCTCCTAGGCAACGACTAATCGGCCTGGGCGCTGGGCGGTGCCTCCTCGCCTAGATAGCGCCTAGCGTCTTCTTGAACATTGATTTGAACCATTAGAGAAGATAAGCACATCACCAGTAAAGCACAAATGAGTAAACCATATCCTCCTACACATAGGATGAAATGGGAGATTATCATTCA